CTATCTCTCTTTTTTTATTTGTTCTTGTTGTGGCTTTATAATTTTGTATTAAATCAGAATCTTTCGGCAGTTGCTTTGCTTGATCATCAGGATATTCCAATGTGATTAGTAAATAACAAACCAAAAATTCCTATTTACTGTTTCACATTCATTTTTTGTTTTTCTTAAAATTAAATTTGAAACAACAAGTGAAGGTGTTGAGCCAAAAAAATTGCTACTCCTGTCTCCATTCAAGTTTCAATTTTAATTGTCTAATTTGATATTTTAATTTTTTATATATAAATTTTAGATAAAAAAAACTTAATATTATAATATATAAATAATAATTAAAAAATCTTAATAAAATAAAATTGCTCAAAAAAATAAATATAAAAAATTAATTTTCATTGATATACATTCTTAAATTTTCATTAAAAAAAATTAAAAATTTGAAAGGTCAAACCAATATAAACAAAATTGAATAGAGGGTGTAATAAAAACCTAAACCCATATTCCTCTTTGTGACTGCTGTGGCGGCCATACTTTTTTAAAATGAAAAACATGTGAAACATATTTCAGTCCACAAGTTGAGTCTCAGACTCAACATTCCTCAAACATATATTAACTTAACACTATATTTATTCTTGTCAAAAAAAAAAAAAAAAAAAAAAAAAATTCGTTTCCTAGTTTCTTTCCTTTTTTTTTTTTAAAGAAGGAAATTAATACAATACTTATTAATTAAATAAAGCTATGAGAAAGGGATATTTGAAATTTGAATTATAATTTATAAGAGATGATTCATACTGATCTAAAGTCAAACCCATTAGATTAGAGTGTAAGGATCGTTTTATAATTTCTTTTATACTACACTTGAACAGAAAATTAGTAAAAATTGTTTCTAACTTTTTTTTATATGTTAGAATATGCTTAAATTAATTTACAATTATTCATATTTAATTTAATTAAAATTAAGTCATCCATATCAAAATTCAAAAATTTATAGTAAATTACCCTAATTCAGGGT